CTGGGCTCCCTGCCGTTTGTGCCTCCTCCATCCCTAAATGAGGTTCTGGAAGCCATCCCCAACTCCCCAGGTGGGGTTTCAGAAGATGCTTCCTTAACTGCTGCAATATAAATAGCTGGCCAACACTAAAGTAATTCAGAATCTTAATGTTTTGGTGTAATTTATCAACATGTATGGATATCAAGTCAGAGTTTCTCTATATAAATCCCATCTGTAATGCGTCATTGAGAACGTCTACAACAATTGTCAAACTCTCAGCACAGAATTTTCCTTTATTTCTCCAATTCATCCCTCACTCCCATGCATCTGCCGTCTCATTAACATATTTTCTATTCAAGCAAAGCCTTTATTAAGACCACCCAGATTATCCAACTTGCCAAACAACTCTTGCACTTGGAATTCACAACAAGTTCAGATAAGTTCAGTTCAGATAAGTACTGTCATCTATGAAATTCTAACACCCTTCTATGATATATTAGTCTGTATTTCACTGAAGAAAATAAATTTGATTCCTAAATAAGCAAACATTTGGACATTTGAAGGAAAAAAACAAAGGTGTCTGCTGGTCTTAGAGAATTGTGGGCAGGTTAATCTATTCAACACAGTGTTCAAGAGGCAAAGACACAAGAAACAAATAAAACAAACCAGGTCTTTCAACCAGTATTTTGTTTGTTTGTATTTATTCAAATTCAGTATATTTTGAAAGTCAAACCCTTCTTCAAAGAATTCCTCCCATGTTGAATTCTCTCACATGTGAGATATTTAGTTTTAATGAGGGAAGAACACCAAGCTCTGGCTTGATAAATGACTTGGTTTTAAAAAATATTGTTAGTACTCAAAGCTGTTATGATTTTTGAAAAAGCAAACAAACAAGCGAGTTTCAACAACACCTTGATAAACCAGATTCGTGCTGCCAGCCATTGGCTAACTTATCTGATAAGCCCACGGCAACCCTGAGGTAACCTACAGACTGCTGTCATTTTGTATAAATTATTTATTTCCTATGATACATCCAAAAACTTCCCTCACTTCTGGCCTTCCCTTCCAGAAGGCCTTGGCTGCCAAAAATTGGTTTCTGTTCATTCACTCTTGTTCCATACCTGTGTCAACTCAGGTTCCCAAATCCTACACATCACCCCACGGTTCCTCTGGACTTCTCATGGGAATGCCAGACAGTTGTGAAGCACACTCGTTTTAAAATGAGCTGTGTCACTCATCAGCATGGATATGGATCACTCACTAAAACTAAAAATGAAGCAAAAAATAAACCAAAACCCATCAACTCATACAAATTCAAATGATGTGTTGAAGTCCAAGGGACAAAGTTAAGAAGATAGTTTCTATCTGCCCAGCAAACTGGTTCACACTTTAGCACTTTCTCATCTTGGCCACTTTGTTAGTGAAATGAGTGATAAAATCTGACTTCTGACTTCCTCACTGGAGAATTACCTTTCCTAACCCGTGATGAGGATTCTGTTCTCAGTTTCCTTTCCCCAATTCACCAGCAGCAGACCCAATTATACTACAACCCAATGGTCCATTTTCTGAACTTTTACTTACAAGACCAACAAAACTGTCACTGTCTTACAGAAAAAGTGATGAAACACACATGCTCTGGATTAAAAAGTTCCCATGGATAAGTGTAATTACATTATTTATATATCTATTTGTTTTTAATTCTCCTGTAAGGTATTATCACATGCTTATCAGTAAGAAACAAATGTTAAACATGTCAGTGTTGGTTTGAATATTTCAAAAGTGGAAAGATTTCTTAGCTTTGAATTTTGATTTGCATTCTATTTCTTGCTATACATCCTGCCAAGTTCTTTCTGGCTCAAGCATCAGAGATGACATGTAGATCAGGAAGGACCACAAGATAAAACCAAGGTTAACGTCTTGATATGGAAATTCCCAACCCTTTCTAAACTCCGCTGATGGGTTTAAGAGGACTGGCGTGGTGTGAGCTTCTCTGAGCACAGGAGCAGCTGCTATTCACTAAGATCCTTACCCTAAGAATCTGATGAGAGGTATTAAAACCCAGCTTCTCCTGAGGTCGGCAGCAGGTTTTGCTAAGGACATTAAAATCAAAGGCAGACAGGAAATTTTCAATCTCAGTTAAGAAAGGGGATGACAAAACTCTTTAGACAAGCTGATGGGCCAGACAAGAGACCTTCCAATTCAGATTCCCATGCACTTGAGAGGATGTTACTGGTCACTGAGATAATACTGAGGATAAGTCAAAGTGGATAAAATGTCCACTCAAAAAATTAAAAATTCCTTAAAAAAAAAAAAACACATCAACTTCTTAAGAAAAGTCATAAGGTGAGTCAAACTGATTGTCATTTTGACCTTCCTTTGCTTTAACTCAGGAGCCTATTTAGAAATGTAACAAACAACCCTCTTCATTCGGCTCAGCTAGCAGAGCTAATAGGCTTCTAATTAATTTCCAGAAGATTGCTGTTATAACTAACAGGTTTTAAACATTTGGTTGATTGGGGAAAATGAATTGAATATAATGTATTTGATTTGGAAAATTAGTTTTCATTCTATGTGCTTACCATAATGGTGTTTATTTTAAGTTTACATGATTCCATTAAGAGTCCCAGATCACACCACGGAGTTCTTTTCATCATTACAGAGTCCTACTCAACTTAAAAAAAAAAAAAAATCAATTTACATTTTTATTTTTGTTGGCCTTTCGTTGAGTCAGGTTAACTTCATTTTTCTGGCTTTAATAAAAATCTTCTCTTGCCAATACAGCAACAAGGCCCAAATACTTCAAAATGATCTCAGTGATACCTCGTCAAAAGCCCACTCATCGAATGCAAATCCTCCAGAGAAAGGCTTCGGCACACAAAGTACGATGAACCAGTTACCGCATTGTTTATTAAGTTTCACTTGATTCCTCCTGACAACCATTTAAACAATGAATGTTGGGAAATGTCCCTCAAAGAATCAACAACAATGGCAGGGATCAGGGCTTTTATATTTAGCTAATACTATTTTTAAAAGGAGAAAATATTTCTTCCTGAAGGGATTATGGCAGCCTTATTAAAGACACCTGCAAACAAAACAAGTGACAACAGATCTTTATCATAATTGATAACTGAGTCATCTTTTATACAAAAACTCCTTTCTTGGAGACAATAATACAGAGATTTACCATTGCTGTTAGATTCAAGAAATCAGCTAATTGGGACTACTGGTATTTAACAATGGTGTGTTCCATCAAGATTAAGTGAGACCCTTGTCTCTCAAGTTAAAACAAAGAACGGTGAGACTAGAATGCTCTCCTCACACTACTGAGAATGTTGGACACTGAAAGCAGGTAGCATCTATCCCTGTTCCTCTGTTAAGTCATACAAATATATGTGGTGAATTATCATTAGGAGGACTAACTAACCATGTGTGAAGTACATAGTGGGCCAATCGGCTCTGGAAACCCAACCTTGGCCTGGCTAGCAGTAGCAAAGACGCAGAACCTTCCAAAAAATCTTCTCAAAGTAATTAACCATCACCCTCATAACACGGGACTCTTTTGGTAAAAAATTGCTTCTGAGGATAAATTATGTAGCCCGGTTTAAGTTTGCAAAAGCAGTGGTGGTGGGGTGGGGAGCAGAATCAGGCATCTTTGCAGTAAAAACCACTTTGCCTCTAAATCACAGACTACTTCACATTGGTTGACAGTGGACGCTTTCTCCCAAAGGCTACACCGATACAGCCAGATATTCACTGACACATTGTTTGTGACTTACAGGAATGCCTAGAATAATTTCAGACCAAGTACTGATTTTTCTGACATAGCTAACTTTCCAAATTAAGTACTTTAGACTCCTTTTATAGCAATGGCTCCTGAAAAGAGTCTACGTTTTGACTTAGAGAGCATTTGAACAAAGAAATAAAACTGGGGACTTGGGAGCATCAGCACCAAGCCATAATTGCACATCCTCACCACAACATTTCTCTCCTTCCTGGCCTTAAAATGGGATCATGTTACCTGGCACTTAGAGAAAGTGAAAAGGGTTTAAACCCAGGAATTATTATTAGCAGCAGAAGCAGCAGCTGGGATTTTAGAAAATATACAACTTTTGATAAATGCTATATATTTGATAAATCCAAAATAAACACTTGACAAAGTCCCTGTAGCCTGAATAAGTGAAAAGCAGACAGGGAAAAAACAACAGGGAAAAATCCCAATGAGCAACCGTACTGAATAAGCAGATGAGAATTGCGATGACCTAACACCATTCTTTAGAACCTCCAAGCTGACAGACAAAACAAAGGCTGGAGAGAAGGTATTTCAGTGGGATTATAGGATTCTTTTCTTTAAAAAAAAAAAAAAGACACCTTAAGATACAGCAATCAACATGTTAAAAGACAAGCTGCCTACACAAACAAAAAAAGACATTTTCTGAGATGACTTTGATTCCATACTCAAATTATTGGCTTAAAGGTACTTGCTTTTAAAGGCTTTGTTGTATCTTCCATATAACTGCTCTCTATTGTCCTTGTTAAAGTATTATTTTCACCTTATTATTACTAATCTTTTCTTTGTAAGTAACCACACCTGGCTTTATACAAAAAAAAAGTGCAGTAAATATTTGTCCTTTGTGGTAATACAATGCATAATTTAGTTGATCTAGGCTATCTTTCCATGAGAGATAATTATTTCTATATTATGAAATGCACACACAGTAAAGGGAATCCACGCCAGACACCTGGAAGGCAGAGGGAGAACCACTTACCCTGCATGTCGCTGCTTCAGACCAACCTTGACGTGACTGTGTAGCCAGCCACTCCTGCCCCAGGTATTACTCATGTTAACTGACTTGGTCTCCCAGTCACAGCCGCACCTTTCTCTCACAAACATGGCATTTATTTAAGATAACAGGACACATCATCAGGCTAAAATACCCACCCTCAGCCTCTGAGAAAACACCTGGAGAAAAAGGTACCCTGCTCTTTCCTGGGAGAACTCTAACAGGACTGTTAAACATTACCTGGATGAAATCAAGAAATGTCAGGGGCAGCAAGTCATCCATATGCCCAATGTCTTTGGAGAAACGATTTAAAATTCTTCCTGCAAGAACAGGACACAAGAAATTACTTATTTCCCCAGGAAAGCCCTTAAAGAGAAACAATTTATGGACAAATCAAAATAGCATTTTAAATGCATATGTATTTAATAGATTAGGGATTCACATGAAATAAGGCAGTGTCCGTGATGAAGAAAAAAAATACGATATTACCAAAAGAGAATATCAGGAAGAGCTGGAGGATTGTAGAGTATTCCCCCCTTTTCTCTTCATACTATTTAAGGAATCAAGTGCTAGCTTGGTAAATTACAAAATACATAAACTAATAATCCTAATTGTTACACTAACTATGCTATCAGAATTAATTTTGCTAAGTGATACTATCTTTTTTTTTTTTTTAAAGTAATTACAACCTGTCCTCAATTTTTTAGCCTCCAGGACGGTGCAAAAAGCACCTCACATTTTGGGAAATTTGGGTTCTTTCAATTTCAAGCTGAGCATTTACTACTGGGGTGATAAGCTGTTACTTTCAGAGGTATACCAGATGTGACAAACACACAGCTCATGCTATAGCATCCAAGAAGACCAGAGGGATGGAGGCAGAAAACAGAAATATGACTTGGTGACTAATTCACTTCTTATCATTACTTCTATTTCCCTTCTCAGAATCCACCCAAACAGGATATCCTAAAGGCTGCAGGATTGGAGGATGAGAACTAATTTTTGGTCTTTTTAATGATTACAGTCAAAGAAATTGAAGTAATACACAGAGGGATGCATGCACACACATATATGCACTTGCGCACTCACACACAATGCACAGAGGTATGCATGCGCGCACACACGCAGAGCTTATTCTGTGATAGTAGCTTGAGAGAAGTGCGTTTCTCTATGCCCCTGAATTTCTTTTGTAATAAGGACTCCAGGAAGCCAGCCTGTAGGTAAGATGAGGGCTACCTCATCTGCGCTTCCTGACCTGGGTCACAGGTGACTTTCTCCCGAGGCCCTTCACACCAGCCACAGCTGGACGGTGAATGAGCCGGGGCCGGGTTTCCACTGCCGGGATCAGCCTGCTCCGCTGTCCTCCTCAAGGCGCCTGGCTCACCGGAAGCACAGATGTGCCCACACAAGGAGCTGGAGGCTACTGCACTTGGCCAGGCCAGACCTTCACAGACTGGGGCCTCAACTTTCCTATCTCACCCTTAGGAAATACAGACCCAGAAACTCTCTTTTCATGATACCTCTGTAGGCCCCAGTAACAACTTTTCTGAGCCTCTATGAATGCCTGCTTTAGAAGACGAGTATCAGAATTAAACGGGCTCATGCTGGTGGAAGAATTAAGTCACAACGCTGGGTGAGTTAACAGGTGCCCAACCATGTCACCTGGCAAAGTCCACCAGGTGCTGCAGGAGAGCCCGCTTGGTAAAATGCAGACTCCGATTCAGGAGTGCTAGGGGAGCTAGAGGGTCTGCATTTCCTCCAAGCAGCCCTTCCTACACTTTCCCAGGCCACACTTCGATGGGCTCTCCATCAGTTCTGCATTAGGACCATTAACATCAGATGGGCAATTTTCCCACACATTCTTACCCGTTTTGTGGCCCACCTAGTCATTTTTAAACTTTTCAAAGTAGCAATGCCAAATCCAGGAATATACACATCCCCACCCAAAAAAAAGAGTTAAAGACATAGTTTAAATTTTATGACTTCTTCATTGTAAAAACACAACTTTTTAACGTAGGCAGAATCTGTAAACAAGAGAGTTTGCTATTTGGATTTAAAAACTTGACCCAGCCTTTTTGTTCGATGTCTGTGGGGGCACTCTGTCATCTGACGCTGTGCAGGCTCGTGGGACACACAGGAGGGGACTCAGCAGTCACAGGGACGTGGGACAGCAGGAGCAAGCGATGACAGGCGGCGATGACGCAGTCACAGCTGCAGCGGGTGACACCAGAGCAGGTGAACTGCAGGCTTAGGCTAACAACTCTTCACGGAGGAAACACAGCCTGAGCGCTTGGGAGGAGGGAAGGGGATGGACTGATGGAGAGTGGAGTTTGTCCAGGTGGGACGAATGACATGTGTGCGGACTGAAGGGTGAGAAAGGGCAAAAGCAGGGCAAATATTTGCCTCTTTGATGGAAAGGGCACGCCCTCAGGAGTGCTGAGATAGGAGAGCTCAGTGTGAACGGGAGAGGAGGGCAAGCCCAATGTTAGGGGGCCTCCGCTGAAAAATTCCCTTCAGTCAGAAAGAGGCCCGACTTCTCTTTTGTGGGAAGGAAGTCTCTCATGGTTGTTAGAAGGACGCCCTGAGAATGCTGGGTGCAGAGAGGATGAAGGACCAACTTACACAAGTGACCCAGGCGAGTGACAGTCTGAGTGCTCCCAGGAGGCGGCTGAGGACCAATTCTGTCTCGGCCACTGTTCTCACAGACAAACCCTGCACAGACTCATCAGCATGCCTGTGGTACACAGCAGAGCTTGGGCGGCATTTTTTCCTTGAAGTCGTGCCTTGTGGTCACCCCTGTTTGGTTTCTAGAACACCAACCACCACCACATGAGCACTGAGAAGTGCCAGAAACCACGGATGAATCATCTGATCAAAACTCTTGACAGCGATGTTGTCCCCATTTTACAGAAGAGGCAGTTTAGGGTTAGAGGCAGGAGGAAAGTAACTCACTGACATTCGGCTATAAAACAGGTCAAGACTTGCATCCAGGATTACAGAGATTGAGAAAATTCATGTCATCACATCTACGAGATACAGCTATTTTAGCAGACACATCTAAAAACTCTATTAAGTATCTACTAATAAAAATGAACCTATGGCTGATTTACGTTGATATATAGTGGAAATGAACACAACATTGTAAGCAATTATCCTCCAGTTAAAAATAAATAAGTTGAAAAAAAAAAAAAAGAATGAGTCAATAAAATTACAGGCAGGGCTGGTGTTAAGCTAGTATGAATGGTGAAGGCCAAACTGGCCTCTGACAGCCCAGCCCCTTCTGACTGGCTAATATGCGCTCCACTGGCTGCTGAATACTTTGAACATTAAAACAGATGAGTTCCTCGGAATTCTCTCCTGGCTAACCATAATTAATGGTTAATATCTCCACCTCTAAATTAAATTGTACAAGTTACTGAAGATTCAATGAATGGATTAAGAAGTGAATAAACACGTGAAAGAATGAATGAACCAGACAGTCTAAGAAAAGCATAACTGGTTAAGAAATTCAGGGCTTGAGAACCCTCTCCAAGCCTCATGCTATCCTGTGACATAGGGCAAGTCCCATCGCCTAATGGTTAACTATGGCAGGGGACTGACCTTGAAGGAGTGGACACACTTCACATATTGCCCCAGGAAACCACCTGTTGTAGTCGCCAGAAATGTTTTTCTACAGTGAGTAGATGTAAAATATTTTTTTACATCGCCTAAGCACAGTGGGGAGAAAGAGGTCAGGAAGCTAAATCAGGCTAGCTCCTTTACAGCCAGATCTTGTGCACATGTCATGTGCGGAGTCTGGCTCATGGCTCATAGAAGGTCAGGACTGGACAGACTAGCGGACAGTAACAAGCAGTAAAAAGACGATGGCTCTGAAACACTGGGAGTCTGATAAAAACAATGGAGCATACTCACTGGAAAATGCCTACAGCTTTCATGATTTCTGGGGATTCTTAAACCATGAACTGGGTTTCCCTGGTGGCTTAGATGGCATAGAGTTTGCATGCAATGCAGGAGACGCGGGTTTGATCCCTGGGTCGGGAAGATCCCCTTGGGAGGAAAGGAAATGACAACCCACTCTAGTATTCTTGCCTGGAAAAACCAACAGATAGAGGAGCTTGGCGGGCTATAGTCCATGTGGTAGCAGATTCGGACACGACTGAGCAACTTTCACATACATACATAAACCATGAACCACAGGAAGTGGGGTGGCCACAGGAGGGTGTAGGCAATTAAGAAATGTCAATTCTGAGGGCACGGGACACCATACATCACAGGACTCCTCCAATCACAAAAACACACCACTTGGCCTCCAAGATCTTTTTTCCCGGCATACTACACCTTGACCATGTTTCAGGACAAAATGCACAGTCTTCATCTCATACTTCCCGAAGAATGAGATCTGTGGAGTTAAAACACGGAGCAGTCTTGCCTGGGAAACGTGTACCCACAGAAAGAGAGGTCAAAAGATCTGTTAATAAAGTCATCTAAGCAGGGACATCCCACTTCTGCAAAGGCAAGGATCAGGAAGTTGCCATTCGAATGCAGAGTCAACCCTCCCCTCTCTAAGAGGCGCACAAGGACTTGTAACGCTCAGAAATGGGAGAGCAAAACATCTGGTGTGAGAACGTGACTAAACTTGAAGACAATGGTTCCACCCACAACCCACCACATGTAAAGTGACTGAAGGTGAGCTGGAGTGGGACCAGCCAACACCCGAATCTGATCTCAGTTCATCTCTAGCGCATCCTTTTAATTTCTGGGACCCGCCAACAGTTGTTACACAGATGTGGTTGGGTTGTATTAAGTGTGAGAGCATGGGCCTTTGCTGGGGAGTAAAATGAAACACACAAATGGAGAATACCATTAAAAACAAGGGAATTTAAAAAATTATACAAATAAACTTATTTATAAAAAAAAAGAAGTAAACCCACAGACATAGAAGATAACCTTATGGTTACCATAGGGAAGGGGGAAAAGGGATAGACTAGGAGTTTGGGATTAACATATACATACTATATAGAAAATAAACAACAAAGAATTACTGTATAGCAGAGGGAACTACATTTGATATCCTGTAATAACCTGTAATGGCAAAGAATCTGGAAAACAATGGATATATGTACATATGAATAACTGAATCACTTTGCTGTCCACCTAAAACTAATACAACATCGTAAATTGATTGCACTTCAATTTTCTTTTTAAAAAAGAAGGGGAAGGGAAAAATCATTTTCACTACTGTATTCCTTCCTTTAAAAATTAGATAAAAGCAGTAAGAAGTGGAAACACTGCTCGAAGTGTTATAATTCTACATAGTGTACTG